CCAAATACACAAAATAATGTTCTTTTTAGCAGCATCATATGACCCCTTTAAAGACTCACTCAAAGACAGTCCATTTCCACCACCTTGTGGCGCCGAACGGTTTAAAGACTGACTGACAGCCCGTCTAGAACGCACAGGTGGAAATATCAATAGAAAGTCTCTTGTCCAGTCAAGTTATACATAGGCTAACAATAGCCTAATAGATTTTATTGTCAGGTTTATGTTCTGTTATGTGGATCGTTATTTTGTCATTCTCTTCTGTTTACTTCACATCCTGTTTCAATGGTTTCTGAATATGACCTTGTTATATCATAATCTATAGCAATCTATAGCAATGAGGTCTACTCTTATATTAAGAGTTCTTTAGTAAAACTTGCTTTAAGAGTTTTGTGAATAGGTTTTAAGCTTAAACTCCTGGATAGGAAGTATTAAAAGGAGCATTTGCTCACAGCAGCCAATTTGAAGTTCAGCATTGCATTTGTTAAACTTGTCAGAGAATCCCTCTCCCAGACATTTTCTCTAGTGTATTCCCTTGATAATGCAAAAAAAAAAACATGAAAACATCACGAGTTGAATCGACTAGTCAACTAGAGTCAGTAACTGGTTGTAGAAATATCTTCCAGCTCTTCATCTTTCTCTCTCTGTAGGTGTGTGAATCGTACACACTTCACAGACAGACCTTCTACCTGGCTCAGGACTTCTTTGACAGGTACATGTTGTCCCAAAGTGATGTGCAGAAGGATCAACTGCAGCTCATAGGAATCACTGCTCTGTTCATCTCCTCCAAAATAGAGGTATACAAGTGTTTAATAACTCTCTGCTCAATATAATCTATGAACATCACATTAGACTTGAAATTGTATTACATCTGGTCAACATAAAATTATTCATAACACATAAGAAGTCTGGCATCAGTGCAAAAACAGCTTCACGTTGAACACTAGAGAAAAAAACATTATATTACATTATAAGGCTAATTAGTTGAGCTGTGCTTGAGCACAATTCAATATTAATCAGGGATGTGATTTTTATGGGTTTCCATATTTTCAACCTGAGAAGTATTTCCTGTGTAAATTGACTAAACAAACTGCAAAATGATTTTCAAATACATTTATTTTATTATTGCTTTCCAACAGCACTGAGCAAGCTAGTTTCTCTGTGTAGCATATCAGCCAGTGTCCAAAATTAACTGTGCGTAAGCACCAAAGTAAGCACTGAGTAAAAATCAGTGCTGGCGTGTTTATGAAATGCTGTTACTTGGCCAGTTAGTTTTGTGAATTCTAGCAATGCATGGATTTGAGAACATGATGTGGCTTAGTACAGTTATCAGATTGCAAAGACTGCAGTTATTTATATATAAATATATAGTTTGACCCTGATGTGTTACATACATGCAGCTCATGATCCAGTGTTTTCAGTGTCTCAGAGCGATTAGATTCACATTAAATGCTGTTTCACACAAACTCAATCTCTGCAGGCGCATAGTTTGGGTCGCAGTGCATTTGAAAGCACAACATAACACTTCCAAATTTATAATTAGAATCGGTTATAAATTGGTTTTCAACAAAAGAAGGTCTTTGAGGTGCGTCTGCGGTTTTCCATCAAAATAAAAGCTCTTTATTGATTTATTAGAATTAGAATATTTTGTAATTTAATATAATAGAATTCTATATTTTGGCCTGTGACAACTGAAGTGCAGAGTTTTGTTTTTTTACTTAAAGGGGTGGTTCATTGCGATTTCACTTTTTTAACATTAGTGTGTAATGTTGCTGTTTGAGCATAAACAGTATCTGCAAAGCTACGAAGCTGAAAGATCAATGCAAACGGAGATATCGTCTTTTAAAATTCTGGCGGTTTAATGCCTACAAAAACGGCTGGTAGGGACTACAACGAGTTACTTCCCGGGTTCGTGACATCACAAACCCAGATAAAACCCGCAACCGGAGCACATGCTGCTGAGGTGAGGGGCGGGACGTTTAGACACGTGCTAGAGGCGGTTTAGCCAATCACAACACACTGGGCTAGCTAACCAATCAGAGCCCATCGCCTATTTCTGAGGGAGGGGCTTCATAAAAGCAGGAAATGATCAGTGCGTTTCTCAAAGAAGGGACAGAGCGGTGTGGAATAAAGGTAAATTATGTGCATTAACACATGTTAGACTGCACCCAAAACCAGTGAACCACCCCTTTAAAAGATTGCATTTACTTTGTTTTGATCACATGCTTGATTTATGCACTTGTTGTGATGTTAACCTACAGTTCACAGTCCACTCTAAACGCAAGCAGCATGCTGTGTCAAATATAAATTAATCTCATTTTGAGCTACTGTCTGCATGGGAAATAGATCACTGCAAATCACTGCATGTTCCTTGTTCTTATAGGAAATATATCCTCCAAAAATCACTGAGCTGGCTTATGTGTCTGACGGAGCCTGTCTGGAGGAGGAGATCCTGCAGATGGAGCTGATCATGTTGAAGGTGTGGACAGAGAAATCACTTCTGGTTCTGTGTCCTTTCATATGAGGGTGCAAAAATCATTAGAGAAATTCATAAATCAGTTATATGGATAGATATAAAAAACACAACATAATATGTTGAAAACAATTATATACAATTCAGTTTGTTGCATTTTATGCATCTTTATTTTTGATTACCAATTTTTTGGCAAATCATGAATTTTTTTAATTGAACGGTTATTTATTGGACCGATTGGGCCCCTGCTTTTAATGTTTGCATTGTAAGGTCTTGATGACTCAAGGTAGTAAAGTTGAAAACAGGGAACATAAAAACATCTAATAAAAAAATGAAATGAGAAAGTATTTCTTTTAGTGTGTATAAGTGTGCTATTTAAACGTGTCTGTATGTACTCGACAGGCGTTAAACTGGGATCTTTGTCCAGAGACTGTGCTCTCGTGGATGAAGCTCTACATTCAGATCGCCTCACTGTACGATCTCACCAATCTATTAGTGCCGCAGTTTCCTCAGGAAACCTACATTCAGATCACACAGGTGCACACGCTTTCCACACACCATTATACACTATTAAATTATCTAATAAAAATATCTTGACAGCTTGTGTTGTTTGTTTTAGCTCTTGGATTTGTGCATCCTTGATATCAACTCTTTGGACTTTAAATATGGAGTCTTAGCAGCAGCTGCTTTTTGCCGCTTCATGTCAGCTGATGTTGTCCAAAAAGTATCGGGTAAGATATTCATTTGCAAGGTCTACTGTTATATTAGCTAGGGCTGTGCCATATTGAAGAAAAATGCGATATATGCGATACCTTGTTAAATAATGCGATATTCAATATGCGATACGATATTGACTTAAGTGTAAAATCATTTAAAATTATATTTTAAAATATTTTAACATGTAAATTATATAACCAATATATGTTTCTCAAAATGAAATGAAAGCATCACTACAACTTCTGAATGTGACCAGCAGTGTTTTAGCAGTACATAAAAAGTAATGTCACAAATCAGAAAATGTAATTTGAACATCAATGTGAACAAACAAAAACATTAATGCCACTTATTTTATATCAATGTAACTTTGCTTTCCGTTTATTACTTAAAGTACACTAAGTACTTCTTCATATACTACAGCAAAAACTATAGCCTAAGAAAGTTCAAACATGATTAAAGGCAAGTGAACAGTCAGTAAAAAAAAATAAATAAGAACAAATACACAAATTACAAGCATAGATAAAATAAACAGCAGTATTCAGGTACAGAAATTTAATAAGTGTAAAATAACACTGCAGTGTTCACTGTATGAATTAAACTTAGATGAATCTTTGTTAAAGCTGTGTTTTGTTGTTTGATTAACATTAGTGACATATTGGAAACCATACCTTGGACGTTTTGCCATAAACGGCACACACGTTCTTACGTAGTTACTAATTACAAACATACATTTTTTTAAATAAATATAACTGCATCAAAATTTGCATTGTAGTTGTGTAGGTTGTTACTGAGCAGTGTGAAGAGTAGCGGTTTTGAACATGTTGAAGTGTCTCAGCGTAGATCAGACGAAGTGTTTGTCCTCCACACAGGACTGAAGTGGGAGGCCATTGAGACGTGTGTGAACTGGATGGCTCCTTTCGTGGAGACCTTGATGTGTTATAAGAGCGCACAGCTGAAGGAATTTGGCCAAGTGCCGTCTGAGGACAGACACAACATTCAGACACACGGGGACTACCTCAGCATGCTGGTGGGTCTAGTGCTTAACTAATATGTGACCCTGGACCACAAAACCAGTCATAAGGGTCAATTTTGTGAAATTGAGATTTATGCATCATCTGAAAGCTGAATAAATAAGCTTTTCATTGATGTATGGTTTGTTAGGATAGGACAATATTTTGCCGAGAATACAACTATTTGAAAATCTGGAATCTGAGGGTGCAAAAAAAATAAAACTGGTTTTGTGCTCCAGGGTCACATATTAATCATAGACATCAATGCAGTCGATGGATGTTGAAGTTCAGAGGTGGTATGAGAACAGAATCATCAGCATGTTGTGCTCATTTGGTTCTGCAGTGGCATTGTTTCAGCCAGGTGCATTTAACCGTTCTCAAGTCCTTGTCGTTCTCATTTACAGAAAGAGGCTCAGGAGAAACAGTCAGAAAGCCTGGAGCACTTCTTCCCACCAACACCACCCAGCAGCGCTGAGAAACCCAGCTAACACTAGTGTTCACACAGCAGGATCAGTGTACTGTGATTTTTACCGTCACTCTAGTTCTAGACTTCATCTCAAAGTTCAGGTCATAAGTTGTAAAACTGTAATATGTACTATGTGCACAGGGCTTGAACTGCTATTTAAGTTAACAAAATAGGCTTTAGAAAACTGCTGTTTTGTGTTCTGAACAGACAACTTATGCTCCCCAGTGTTGGGTTATGGTTCTCTTATACTTTATAGTACAAAAATAATTGTGCAAAAAATAAGAGCAGGCCTCAGGATTGCTAGTGGTATTTTTGTATTTTTTCTATTTTATTTTTCGAGTTCAAATGATGACTTCAAATGTGATTCATGAAAATATCAAATTTCCTGTCGGCACAATGTTCTTTATTATACAGCATAATATAAGTATACTGTTCATTTGTATAGAGAATGTAAGATGTTTAAATATATATATATATTAATTTCAACTTTACCAAAGGCATTACATTGTGCATTTGATTGTTCCTTATTGACACATAATTGTGAAAATTGGTGTGTGTGTGTTATATATATATATATGCACACACACACACCTCTATACATTTGTACATTATAAAAATAGGAGACACATGAATTAGCGTAGGCATATTTATTTGAAAAATGTTTTTGATTTTTTTTCCCCATTTAAAAACCAAACAAACAGTCTTGTAATTAATTTAAAAGTAGAGTTTAGCCAAGGCCTGTAGGAATTTCTTCTTCCTTTTTTGCGCTGCAAGCTGCAGAACTTCCTCTGGGTTACTGGAGTTTAACTCTGTCTGTCCGATGGCCTTGATCTGTGTTCAAAGAGATTAACCATCATTACCTTCATATCCATGTACTGAGCTACTTTAGATTCCTTTGTGATGGCCAATTGTGCCCTCTGAAAATCAAGCAACTTTTGTACAAATCTTGCTTTGAATCTGCACTGAAAGTAAATATTGTTAGATTGCATTTCTACACCATCTACAATAAATGAAACTATGTGGCCTAATTGATTCTTGAATCAACAGATAAATAAATCGGCTTACCGCAACTTGTCTTTTGTCACCCTCTCCTCGTTTATGATGAATGTCTAAAGGCAAAAGTTACGGTAAAACAATGGACGGAAAATATCAGATGTGCTGAAAAACAGGGTTATTCAAATCTTTTTTTATTAATACATTTGCAAATTAACTGATAACAGCGGACTCGTGTTGGTCTGAGATTGGGTCTTCTTTAAAAAGGATACATGTCAGATATTCCAGAATCGTCACGTCCCAGATGTAGCCATAGAACGAATCCATGGAGTCATGACTGATGGAATGGAGAAAAATGCAATGAAGAACGTTTCTGAACTATTTTGTAAAGCGGGTATTGATGCATTGCGAGTTCACCTGTTTTGCTCTTGTAGAGCTTTGAATGCAGTCATGTAGTCGACTTCCCTCAGAAACTGGCAGAGAACAGCCACCTGCAGAGTGCACACAAGGACATCATGTATCAGCCAATGCAATTCTCTGCGACGAGACTGGTGACAGTACACCGATGCGGTTTGTTACCTGAGTGTGACAGTTCAACAGCGAGCAACACTTGATCATTCTCTTCAGAACCTGCAGAAACATTCAGCGTGTGTCAGTCACATCTCTACAGGGCATTTTACTACCAATCCAAAAGTAGAAATGAAAGGGTTTTCTTTATTCGTTCACAACAGTGTTCTGCAGATTTCCAGCACCTGGTCGGTGTAGACGTCAGGAGGAACGGGTTTAGTGAAGTAATCGGAGCACACGGTCCCTGCCTGCAGGTAATAATGCATCGCTGCAGAATACTGGCTGCTCACTGAAACAACAAAAGAAGAAAAAATAAAAGAAATAATTTAATAAGTAAAAACTTAAACTGAAGTATGTTTTTCAAAGTAATTTTGAATGACTAATTTTTCAATGCAATTCTGTAAACATCAAATTGTGAGGGAAAAAAAATTAATTGTTTTTTAAATGCTTTCTCTGTATTTCTAACCTGGCAAAAATCTACAAGTACTATATTAATAGGCCTGTTGCAGTAATCAATATATCGACTTGTCGCACAATATATGTACATGACCGCAATCATTTTTGGTGACGCAATATATCGCCCATTATATTCACATAAAAAAAACACAATAACATAAAAAAAAAATGTTTTGTACATTCCACTTGCGCCTGTGTCTTTTGCAGCTTCTCGTACATAACGTGGTGTAGTCATGAGGTGCTAGTTCAAATAGAAAAAAACGCTTCTACAAAAAAAAGTTTAATCTGCAGATATGGCCTAGTTTAGGGATCTGTGCCTTTGTGCATACGGACATCTGACTGCTGAGTAGTGATTGTGTTTTTCAGCAATAGTGTGCACCCTTCATTTACAGAGAAAAGAAGGTCAGGGGAAAATCTGTAGATGGAAAAATCTCCATACAAGTTCTTTGCGCATTTTTATTTTTTTCTACTTGTTACTTTGCACTTTTTGTTAGAAAATGTTTATTTACTATTTATTCAAGTTTTTTAAGGTATCTAATATTTTGATACTTAATTTCCATGATCTAAATATTCTTAAGAATTAAGTGTTTGTGTCATTTGAAAGTGTGAAGGCCTTCTTGCATTACTATGCTGTTACATTATGATTATATATTCAGTGGCATAAAATGGTCTTAAAATGACAATAATATCGCTTATCGCAATTATTTCTGGGGCAATATATCGCACAACAAAAAGTTGTTATCGTGACAGGCCTATAAATTAATAATTCTTTTAGCATTTGGACCCATTTAAAAATGAACTTTCGGCATGAAAACAATTTTTTTAATATTTTGCTTTTAAAAAATGCTTTATGCTTTATGCTTTTATCAATGCATCTCTCTGAACTCATCTCTGAAATACTGTGCATCTGACAGACTTGGCCAAGAGTTTTTAATTGTTTAAATGTCAAAAAATTTATTTGGGAATCAAACTTTATTTTCAAAGAATTATGAACATTCAGCATCAGTCTGTGTAAATAGTTAAATATTTTGATGAAAACAAAACATTGCAAATATTTTATACTTCTGTATGTTTTAGTCACACCAGACTGAGTAAATTTAAGTATTATAGCATGACTTTAAATTTACTTTTAAGTTGAACTGCTTGGGGTTGGGTGATATGACTAAAATCTTAAAGCCTGATATTTATAGGCATTACTTAACCATGGCAGTGATACACATCACCTAATCGTAATTAGGCCAAACCTTACAGATTCATAATCCTCCATTTCACAGCATAAATTAACTAGCCCAGCTTGCAACTACAACAAAAATAACCACATACATAAAGCGATATACAATAAACTGTTAAATATAAACAATTTAGCGTTAACACAAACCTCTGTAAACAAACAACAATGTGTATTGTTTAAAGTGTTATATGAATCCTATGACCCCTCAGTGTTGGATCTTTACAGTATGAGTGCAGGGTTTCATTCATACACAGCTTTAACTTACCAAAGTAAATGTCAGCCTGCGTGCAGAGCCAGGACTGATTGTTGGGGTTGAGGCTGAGAGCATAGTTCACCAATTCCTTCAACGTGATGACCACGGCTTCAACATCCACCGACTGTAAACTGCATCAACACCACCATCATCATCATCATCATCATCATCTCCATCACCACCATCATCATTATCACCACCATCATCATCTCCATCACCGTTATCACCACCACCCTCATCACCACCACCACCATCATCACCATCATCACCACCACCTCCATCATCATCATCATCATCATCATCTCCATCACCACCCTCATCACCACCATCATCATCTCCATCACCGTTATCACCACCACCCTCATCACCACCACCACCATCATCACCATCATCATCATCATCACCACCACTACCATCACCATCATCACCACCACTACCATCACCATCATCACCACCACTACCATCACCACCACCACCATCATCACCATCATCACCACCACCTCCATCATCATCATCATCATCATCATCTCCATCACCACCCTCATCACCACCATCATCATCTCCATCACCGTTATCACCACCACCCTCATCACCACCACCACCATCATCACCATCATCACCACCACCTCCATCATCATCATCATCACCATCATCTCCATCACCATCATCATCATCACCATCATCAACATCATCATCTCCATCACCACCACCATCATCTCCATCACCACCATCATCATCATTACCATCATCTCCATCACCATCATCATCTCCATCACCACCATCATCATCATCTCCATCACCACCATCATCATCATTACCATCATCTCCATCACCACCACCACCATCATCATCATCACCTCCATCACCACCATCATCATCATCTCCATCACCACCATCATCATCTCCATCTCCATCATCACCACCACCATCACCACCACCACCATCATCATCATCATCACCATCATCTCCATCACCACCATCATCATCATCCCCACCATCATCATCATTAGGGATGCACCGATACCACTTTTTCCAGTACTCGCCCGATACCGATACTTTTATTTTTGGTACTTGCCGATACCGATGCCGATACCTATATTTTTATTACATTTGTAAATTTTTTAAATATTGGGTACAGAAACCAAAAGGGTATGTATAATGTTAGTTGGTTAACTTCATTTATCAAATACCATCATCATCATTACCATCATCTCCATCACCACCACTACCATCATCATCACCACCACCCTCATCTCCATCATCATCATCATCTCCATCATCACCATCATCATCATCACCACCACCCTCATCACCATCATCATCACCACCACCACCATCATCTCCATCATCATCATCATCATCACCTCCATCATCTCCATCATCACCATCATCATCATCACCACCACCATCATCACCATCATCATCACCACCACCACCATCATCTCCATCATCATCATCATCATCACCTCCATCATCTCCATCATCACCATCATCATCATCACCACCACCATCATCACCATCATCATCACCACCACCACCATCATCACCATCATCTCCATCACCACCATCATCATCCCCACCATCATCATCATTACCATCATCTCCATCACCACCACCCTCATCATCATCTCCATCACCACCACCATCATCTCCATCACCACCACCACCATCATCATCACCACCACCACCACCACCATCATCATCATCATCACCACCACCACCATCATCATCATCATCACCACCACCACCATCATCATCATCATCACCACCACCACCATCATCATCATCATCACCACCACCACCATCATCATCATCATCACCACCACCACCATCATCATCATCATCACCACCACCACCATCATCATCATCATCACCACCACCACCATC